CAAACTTCAATGCGTTTGCAAGATCATAAAAAATATCCCGGAACACCACTGAGTGTTACCCTGCCGTATCGCTGTTGAACGTAATCCTTGGTGTTTTCCAACGCGGTTTTCAATTTCCAGTAAACGGGTGATTCCAGGTAGATTACTCTGGAGTATTGCTTGCAATTGCTTCACCCGGGATTTATCTATTTCGAATCCAATCCCCTCATCCAGGAATGCGAATTTTCCAAAGTCTTCAACCAGGACCTCTGATGGTGTTCCTTCTTTCCTTCTTAGATCAGAAACAATTGAAACTTGAAAGTTCTGAATCAGATTGTGCAGGATTTCATACTTTATACCGATATTAATAAAATCTTCCGCATTTGTTTGGGGAAGTTTCTCTTTCATCTCGGCAAATGAATTTGTTAGTATCTCCAAGTATTTCTGGTCCGTCTCTTTCATCTCTCCTATTTTTGTTTTGGGAAGCCATGGCATATCGACGGCTATTTGCTCTATTTTTTCTATTTGGCTAGTAAGGTCAGGAATAATGTCTTCTAAAATAATGTTCTCGTTCTTGAACTCTTCGTTGGAAGCCTCCTTAACAAGATCTTCCAATTTTTTGATCTCATTTTCCAATGAAGACTGCCACGAGATTGTAGCCTTGTCAGGACGCCGCCCTATTAGCTCCAGTCGCATAGGTATCATTAGGCTTTCATAAACTGGCCTGAACAGATCGTTTACAAGTGTCTCGACATGATTTGCGTTCATTGCGTTGAATATTGAATACAGGAGTTTTGAGACAAAGCTCTTTCCCGTATTGTTTGGTCCCGCAAACACAGTGAACTGGCCGACGCGGATTTCCGCATCTTCGAGTTTGCCGATATTTTTTATTTTTACTTTGAAAGCCATGGCAGGTTTGATTGATAAGTTGAATGCAGGCTTTGAGGTGTTTGTTCAGGATATTGCCAGAATTCCATAAAATTAAGATACATATCTTAGGATAAAAAGAAAAGCCCCGCTTTTACCATTGTTTTTTTGTGGCGGGGCGTTCTGTATTGGGTCGCTATTGGTCGCCTGTCTGGAATTGAATCACGCATTCTATGTGATCAACGACGATATCTCCGTCAATATTTTTCGCAGATTTTGCGATGGTCAAGCCCAGGTGGTTGTCGCCATAAATAAATGGCGGGTTTGATAGCGCGATTGTACACGATGGGGGTTGGTCGTCATCGGGCCAGGTCCAGGTCAAATTTTGAGATGGGATTTTTGTGCCGTTGATGTCAACTGTGAGCGCGTCGTCTTTTGACAAGCCCTGAGCGAAGAAAGTCAGGGTGTTTTCTGCGGGAACGGCTTCTGCGGGGAGATTTTCACACAGGCGAAATCTGAAGGTTTCTCGTTGTCCCGTTTTTTGGCGGGGGAGGACAAGTTCTTCTTTTTCATAGACCTCGCCCAAACTTTTGCTATTTGCCCAGAGTGAACGGAAGGTATAGTGTCGGTCTGGGCCGATGCTTTGCGGGTCTTTTAATTCTTTGAGATCGTTCATCGCCGCTGGATACATTGCGGGGATTTCTGCACCATTATTTTGGGGGGGTTCAAACTGGGGCCCCCAGTGAAAGAAGTAATTCTGAGTCGAAAATCCGTCGGCACCTGCGGCATAGAAGTTTTGCAATGCAGCGCGGTATTGGGGCATGTCCATGAGAAATTCTGTATCGATACTGAGCCTGGGTTGCACTTGAGGATAGACATAACAGTTGTGTTGTCGGGCTATTGATACAAAGTCTTCATATTTTTCGTTGAAGTCGGTAAATCCAAAATCTCCAGGGGCGACATAGTCGATCAGGCCCTCTTCGATCCAGGTGGGAACGTCTAAGCTAAGCTTTTTGCAGCCCGCCATTTGCTGGGGGACGCGAACGCCGAGGATGAGGTTCCGCTCTCTGCCTGTTGGGGAACGGGCGTTGTCCAGCATATTGCGGACTTCTCGGATAAAGCCGGTCATGGTGCTGTGGCTGTGTGATAGTTCAGCTTTGGGAAAACATTCTGCGAGGCGGGTGAAGTTAAATTCCATGCCGTCGATGTCGAAGCGATTGGCGACTTCTTCCATGATGGCGAGCAGATAGGCGCGCACTTCTGGGATGGCGTAGTTTAAGGAGCATCCGTATTTGCGGCTTTCGGGTGACGCGCGTCTGGTGGAGGGTTTGTATTCTCTGAGTACCCATTCGGGTTTTTCGTCGCAGAGTTTCTTGAAGAATTCCGTGTGGTGGCCGTGGCGGTCGTTCATTCGAAAACCAGCGATAAATTCCATGCCTTGCTTATGGCATTCGTCGATGTAGATTTCGACGGGCATGATTCCGCTGTCCATTATGGGTATCAGGCGTTGGTGCTGATACCGGATGTCGTAGGGGCATTTGTCGGTTCGCCAGAACATAGTCATTGCTTCGGCAAAGATTTCCTGTACGAGGGTGTCAATACTTTCCGCAGAGGCGTAATTGCGAACGATCTGACGCAGTTCTTCGGGTTGCGCCGCCGGAACGCTGAGGTGGCTGGTGGTATTTGATGGTCGCTGACGTAGATGAGACGGCGTGTGCCACGGGGTTGTAAGCGGCCCAGGTGCGGAGATGATGTTTGTGTGGTAGGCATTGGTATCCCGTCCTTATTCACATTTGTGGTGGGTCTGTGTGTTGCGGTTGCGCGCCATTGGGCAGGGGAGGAACATCGATGCCAGCTTTTGGCAGGGTGCCGGTCATTTCTTGCTGCGGGTGTGCAACAAAGCCTGCGGCACAGCAATAGATCATTTTCAGGGGTACGTCGCCCGTGTTGGTGAGTTGATGATATTCTCCCGGGGGAATGTACACGGACTGACCGGCTTTCAGGGTTTGTCTTTCGGTGCCGAGGCACATTTCGCCTTCGCCTTGGATTACCAAGTAGATTTCTTCCTGTGCCTGATTGTGCCAGGGCACCTGCCCGCCGTTGGGTTCGAAGGTGACGAATCCAACGGAGAATTTTTCTGTGGGTATGGGGGTGCCAGCACCTGCAAATGGCTGTGTTCTTCTGCGTGCGGGAAATTGTCGGCCTTCAATCTCGCGCAGGTCTGAAATGGTCATGTCGGGTTCCTTTAATCGGCAGCGACTGTTTCGCGGGGTTTCATTCTTTCGCGTTCTTCGATAAGCAGGTTCATCCAGTGTTTCATATACTGCCCGTGGTCGTTCCACACGCGGCCACTGATCAAATTGCCATCGATGACACAGGGTTCATCGACGAAGATGCCGCCGCAGACTTCGAGGTCAAATTGGCATTTCCAAACGCAGGCCATGCGACGTCCTTCGACTACGCCTGCGCGACACGGGATTTCAACGCCGTGGCAGACGCTGGCAACGGGTTTGTTGTGTTCAAAGAAATAGCGCGTGATGCGAATGAGGTCGGGGTCGTCGCGGATGTATTCGGGCGCGCGACCGCCAGAGAAGAAGATGCCGACGTATTCGGAGGGGTCGATGTCTCGAAAGGCGATGTCGGCATTGATCGAATACCCTTTCCATTCTTCGGTGATGTCCCAGCCGGGGGAGATTTCGTGGAGTACCATTTGATAGCGCCGCTTATCTGGGCCGGCAACAACGGGGGTAAATCCGTCTTCCTGTATTCTGAGAAACGGATATAGTGTATCGACGGTTTCTGTGGCGTCTCCAACGATGATGAGAACTTTGTCCATGACGGTCTCCTTTGTTATATATCGACGAGGATGGTTTTTTGCTCCTGGGCAGATCGCACGATGGCGTCGGCGGTTGCTACATATCTTCGGCTCTGTTCGGGCGTGACGATGAGGGGTGTTTCGCCTCTGATGGCAGAGAAGATATTGCGATAAAAAGGGCGGCTTTGCAAATGAAATTTGGGTGGGTCCGAGATTTTTTGTATTTCCGTTTCTTTTCCGTCCATTCTTTTGTGAAGCCAGTGTTTCTGGTTTTCATCGATCATGACCATGAGGTCGCCTTTTTCGCAGGCAATGTGAAAACGGGGAAATGCTTTCAATCTGTTCCCCTTGCTCATTTCGACCAGGGCGGTGGAATTATCGGAAAATGTGAGATAGCTGTTGAAGTAGTCGTGTTCGTGTAAGATGGATTTCAAAATGCCGGATACATGGATGGGGCCTGAGGGGGCCAGCATGAGAATCTGGTCCAGCAGGTGGGGGCCGAAAGACATGAAGGGCGCACTGCCCGTGAATTTTTTTGATCCCGCCCATGTCTTCTTCCAGGGACCGCCCAGATGTCTGGATTGGATCATCAGGGGTTTTCCCATCAGTCCTTCGTTTAGGATGCGTTTGAGTTCGAGATAATCGGGATCCCATCGGCGGTTTTGGTGGGTTGTGACGACGAGTCCGTTTTTTTCGGCTATTTGCAACATATAGTCGGTTTCCGAAAGGCTAAAAGACATGGGTTTTTCAATGACCACATTTTTGCCCGCTTCCAGAACGCGCACACCTGTTGGACCGTGCAGGTAATTGGGCAATGCCACGACAGCCATTTGCAGACCCGGATGCGCGAGAAATTCGTCGATGTCGCGGTAGCCCTCACAGCCGTATTCTCTTTTGGCGTGTGCGAGGCGTTCTTCTCGGGTGTCGCAAACCGCAATCAATTCGCATTCTTCCATTCCCGATAAACACGGGGCATGCAGGTTTTCTGCAATTGCTCCCCAACCGATAATTCCAGTGCCAATACGCATGTTTTACCTCTAAAGTGGATTTGTGTGCATTATTCTGCCTCGTGTTGTGGGTATTGTTCAAGGATGAGTTCCGCAGGACTGTCTGTACTTGTCTTTTCCATCTTAGACCTCTTGTTTTTTTTATTTAGAGATTATGGGAAAGGTGCGAGTAAATTAGCCCCTTTACAATAGAAATCAAACGATTTTTATAGCAATGTTTTGGCATATCTTGCACCAAAAAATAAGCGATCAGGGGCAAAAAGCCCAGGGTCGCTTAAAATATAAGATAAACACAGTGCCTGCCAAATGACAAGCACTGTGCGGGAGAGAGTTTATTTTTTTATGCCGTACTGGCGAATAAAATCACTCGTCATTTCACGGGCCTGGTCGTCGCTAAATTGTTTGGGCGGCGATTTCATCAGGTAAGACGATGGTCCCATCAAGGGGCCTTTGAGGCCGTGGTTAAGGGCGAGTTTGCAGAGTCTGACTGCGTCGACGACCACGCCTGCTGAGTTCGGTGAGTCCCAGACTTCGAGTTTGAGTTCCAAATTGAGTGGCACGCCGCCAAAGGTTTCGCCTTCCATGCGGATATGACACCATTTGCGATCTTCCAGCCAGGGGATGTGGTCGCTGGGACCCACGTGAATATTGTCTTCGCCCAGGTCGTAGTCGAGCTGGGAGGTGACGGCCTGGGTTTTGGAGATTTTTTTCGATTCTAAGCGTTCGCGCTCGAGCATGTTGTAAAAGTCGGTGTTGCCGCCAAAATTGAGCTGATACGTTTTGGTGAGTTTGACGCCGCGTTCGCGGAACAGGCGGGTGAGCACGCGGTGGGTGATGGTGGCGCCGACCTGTGATTTGATGTCGTCGCCGATGAGGGGTAGGCCGCGTTTTTCAAAGCGCTCGGGCCAGTGTCCGGCACTTGCGATAAAGACGGGCATGCAGTTGACGAAGGCGCATCCGGCTTGAAGGATTTGTTCCACATACCACTTGGTAGCCTGTTCGCTGCCCACGGGTAAATAATTGACGACGACATCTGTGCGCGTGGCTTTGAGGACTTCGGCAATGTCAACGGTGTCGCCTTCGGCTTTTGTGATGACCAGGTCGAGGTATTTACCCAGGCCATCGTGAGTCATGCCGCGGTAAACGGGAACGTCGAGGTGGGGGACATCGGCAAATTTGATGGTGTTGTTGGGATGTGCAAAAATGGCTTCGCTCAGATCTTTGCCCACTTTTTCGGCGTTGATGTCAAAGGCAGCAGAAAATTCAATGTCGCGGATGTGATAGCCGCCCAGGTTGGGGTGCATCAATCCGGGGATGAACTCATCCTCAGAAGCGTTCTTGTAGTATTCGACGCCCTGTACGAGCGAGGATGCACAGTTGCCTGCACCGATGATGGCGACTCGGACCTTGGAGGACATGGTTTTTCTCCTTGCAGTGAAAGGTGTTCAAAGTATTTGTTGGACAAAATGTCGGTTATTTTTATTTATTAAACAAATCAATAATTATTATATTATTCATAGATAAAATCTATAGACTGTATTTCGAATAGGAGCGAGAAATGAATTTTTATCATTTGCGCTATTTTTTATCTGTTGCACAAACCGGGAGTTTTAGCCAGGCCGCGCGGGAGATGCATGTGACACAGCCAACGGTGAGCAGTGGTGTTGCTGAATTGGAAAAAACGATGGGTGTGAGGCTTTTTAATCGGGGAGGCAAGCGCGTGGCGTTGACAATGGAAGGGCGCACGCTGGTGAATTATGCGATGCAGATTCAGGATTTGGTTGAAGAGGTAGAAGACAATTTGCAGCGGCGCGATGTGTTGCCGGGGGAGGGGTTTCAGTTTGGCGCGATTGATGCGGCTGTGACGTATTTGTTGCCAGACATTTTGAAGGATTACAGGCGTGCTTATCCCAATGTTTCCCTGTCCGCACAGGTGGCGCCATCGCGTTATCTGGTAGATGACCTGCTGATGAATCGCTCTGAGTTTGCGGTTATCTCTTTGCCCTATGATCATCCGCGTGTGGAGACGGTGTCGATTTATCGGGATTCTATGCCGCTTGTGGTGGGTGCTTCTCATCCTTTTGCCGTGCGAGAAAGCGCGACTTTGCAAGAGGTGGTGCAAGAGCCGTTGATCCTGTTTCACACCGATTCCATATCGCGCAAAATTGTGGATGAGCGATTTGCAGAAGCAGGCGTGTCTCCCCGGCGTGGTGATGGAGATGCGAAGTCCAGAGGCGATGCGAAAGCTGGTGGAGGTCGGTGTTGGGATTTCGTTTCTGCCTATGCTAACTGTGCAGGATTCTCTGGATGCTGGGGCGTTAAAAATGGTGGATGTGGAGGGGGTGGCATTTAGCCGCGAGATCGGCGTGGCGTGGAGGCGGGGACGCTATTTTAGTGCGGCGATTCGCTATTTGATCGAGGCGATTTTTGAAGCATATCAGGGGCTTGAGGTCTGGCAAAAGAAGGTGGGGGTGGCAAAATGAGAGGTATTGTACAGGGTGCTAAAACTTGAACGTTTTGCGTTTGGTTTGTTCAAGGGTTTGTATGATGAGAGGGGCGAGGTCGAGCGCGGATTCGATTTCGCGGACTTTTTCCAAGTTGGCGCGCGTTTCGGGGTGTTTGGGTACAAAGACAGAACAACAATCTTCGTAGGGTTCAATGGAGATTTGATATGTGCCGATGCGCCGCGCTTCGTTGATGATTTCTTCTTTGTTGTCACCGGACAATGGGCGCAAGATGGGCAGTGGGGTCACTTCTTCGATGGCGCGCATGTTCGACAGGGTTTGCGAGGCGACCTGCCCGACATTTTCGCCTGTGACAAGTGCATGGGCATCCACTTTTTGGGCAATGGCTTCTGCAATGCGCAGCATGGCGCGGCGGTAGAGAATGACGCGGTAGCTCGCGGGTGCGCGCGTCATGATGTGGCGTTGAATTTCGACAAATGGTACGAGGTAGAGGTCCGACACATATTGATGCCGGGTGAGGAGTCGTACGAGGTCTTCGGTGTTGCGCTGTGAATTGCGATTGGTATAAGGCTGGCTGTGAAAATGTACATAGGTCAGTTTGACACCGCGTTTCATAATTTTGTAAGAAGCCACGGGTGAGTCAATGCCCGAAGAGAGGAGGCTTACGGCGCGTTCATTGGAACCGACGGGTAAACCTCCTGGCGCCGGGATTTTTTCGGCGTAGATAAATATGCGTTGTGGGGCAATTTCAATAAAACAAATGAGGTCTGGATTGTCCATCAGGACGCGGGCACCTGATAGGGTTTGAATATGCTTGCCCACATCTCGGTTGATTTGATCTGAATTGAGGGGAAAGGTTTTGTCGCCGCGCTTGGTGACAATTTTGAAGGATTCGAAATCGGCTTTTTGTGCAAGTGCCCAGGTTGTTTCTCGGATGGCTTCGATATTGCGTTTGGCGACGACTGCTTCGGAAAAATTAGCGATGCCAAAGACTGTCGAGAGTCGTTCTCGGATTACATCTATTGGCGATTCTGAAGTGAGTGCGAGCATCATGCGGCCCGATAGACGCTCGAGCTTTCCACAGGGCACATCTTTGAGTGCGCGGGTGATGTTGGTCATCAGGCGCCGTTCAAATCTGCCCCGATTTTTGCCTTTGAGGCCAATTTCGTGATAGTGTATGAGCATGAATTGGTTGTTGGTCATCATTTTTTCACGAGATGGGTTAGGGATTAAGGGATAGGTCGCGCTGGAGAATAACGAGGGTTATATCGTCGGTGCGCCGCGCGTTGCCAATAAAGGATTTGACATCGGTGACGAGATCGGCAATCAGGTCTGTAGGTGTCTGATCTATGGATGCTTGTTCAAGGCAACGAACAAATCGGTCGTCGTCAAAGAAGTTGCGTCTGGCATTTTGGGCTTCGACAACACCATCGGAGTAGAGCACGAGGCGATCACCGGGCGCGAGTGTTAAATGCACAACGCGATAGGGGGTTGGGGGGCGCACAAGTGCCGGGATCCCAAGGGGGTATCCCACGAGGTCGATAAATTGAGATCGGTTGGAAAGATGGATCGGTGGACAGTGTCCTGCACTTGCCAGAGTGACTTTGCCGGTGGGTACGTCGAGCACCGCGATACAGCATGTGATAAATGTAGCGTGGTCAATCTGACCTTCCAGTGAGTCATTAAGACCGTCGAGTATATCGGCTGGCGCAACGCGATTTTGGCATTCATAGCGGAGCATTTCATTGAAACGCACGGCGGTCACGGCTGCTTCCATGGCTTTGCCAGAGACATCGGCAACGACAATGCCGAGTTTTGTTTTGTCTTCATCCAACCAGCGGTACGCATAGTAATCCCCGCCAACGCTGTTGGCGGGAATACACGTTCCGTCGAGTGCATAACCAGGCAGGTCAGGACTGGATTGTGGCAATAGACCCATTTGCATGTCGTGTGCTGTTTGCAACTCATCGCGCATTTCCGAAAATTGTTGTTTGTAGCTCTCCCACTGTCGCGCTTCTTCGCAGAGGGTTTGGTTGTAGGCCGATGCAAAAATCCCGAGCGCGAGGGGTTGAAAGAGGGTGAAGATACAGAGTTGGGCTAAGGCATTGTCGGCGATGTTCTTAGAGAGTGCAACTGAGCCTACAAGAATTCCGAGCGCGGTGAGTATAAGCGCACAGTGGCGAAAGAAACCATAGCGTTCAACGGCTTTGCGACTTTCGACATAGGCTTCATCAATGTGTACCCCCCGGTCTGCTGCCAGAAGATAGATGTAGAAGCATTGACTAACAAAAACGAGGCCGGGCAAAATAAGAGGCAAGCTGCCAGAACGACGGCCCAAAAAATATTTTTTTCTTCTAAGAATTTTCCAATGTGTTCTGATCCAATGGGGATGATCCAGGGCGTTTCCTGGGCAATACCTGTTTGAATGCATTGAGCAGAAATGCAAAGAAATCGCTGCTCGTAAAAACCAGTACCGCAATGATGACGAAGCCGAGAATAAAAAACAGGAAGATAAAAATATTCATCGAGAAAAAACGGACGAAACGAATGATCTGTCCAAATAGATCTCGCATAGAAGGTTGTTCCCCTTGCTGTGCGCGCAAGATCATGATGGCAAAGCCCGCATATAAGCTGCCCAGGAGCAGAGTGCCCGATATCGCACTCAGGAGTATTGCCAAAAATGAAGCGAGACACAAAATGGGTAGGTGACTCGCCCAGGTGGATATGCTGTCGTTGAGACAGCGAAAGAATTGGAGATTTGCCCGAACGGGGATATCGAGAGCCATAATAATCAGGGTTTTTCTTTGTTGAGTTTGTATTTGCGGTACAGGTGACGAAATTGGTCGTAGCTGAGTTTGAGTTGTTTGGCGGCTTCGCGCTGGTTCCAGGAGACTGTATTGAGAATGCGCCGCAATAGACTCAGTTCAAAGGATTGTACTTGTGATTCAAAGTCGTCGCTCGATTCAGATGATTGGGGCGCTTGTTGAGAAATTTCGGGGGGCAGGTCGCCGGGTTCAATCTCGGTTTCACGGGCGACACAAGCCGCGCGTTCGGCCGCAAATTTGAGTTCGCGCACATTGCCCGGCCAGCGATATGTCATCAGGCGTTCTGTTGCCGCATCGGAAAAATTGCGTTTTTGAAGGCCGGGTACTTCCTCAACGATTTGCACGACAAAATAATCGGCTAATGCGGGAATGTCTTCGCGGCGTTCGCGCAATGGGGGCATGTGCAGGACTTCAAAGCGCAATCTGTCGTAGAGGTCCTGGCGGAATCGGCCTTCGGCAATTTCCGTTTCGAGATCGGTATTCGTGGCGGCAATAACGCGCACATCGACAAAGATGGGGGTCGCGCTGCCCACGCGCTGAATTTCTCTATATTCAATGGCGCGCAGCACATTTTGCTGAAATTCGGGGGTGGTGTTGCCAATTTCATCGAGGAATAGGGTGCCGCCACTCGCGGCTTCAAATTTGCCCGGGCGGGCTTCTGTTGCGCCTGTATAAGCTCCTTTTTCGTGTCCAAAGAGTTCGCTTTCGAGCAATTGGTCGGCAATGGCAGCGCAATTGACTTTGACAAGGGGACGGTCTTTGCGGTCACTGCCATAGTGGATGGCAGCGGCGACGAGTTCTTTGCCCGTTCCGGGTTCGCCTGTGATGAGCGCGGGCCGGGGGATGGGGGCTACGGTTTGCGCTCGCTGGAGAATTTGCTGTAGTTTGGGGCTGGAGCCGATGATTTGATAACGCTTGCCAAATTCGTCTCGGTAGAATTGGTTTTCACGCCCCAGGTCTTGAACTTCGGCCCGCAGTAGGGCATTTTCCTTAAGTGCTTGATACACGCGGTCGAGTTTTTTAAGGCTGAGTTCGATTTTGTCTTCTATATAAAAGTCTTTTTCGATAAAGTCTGTTGCGCCCAGTCGCAATGCAGCCACGGCAGTATCTATTGTGCCCTGACCGGTAAGCATAATGACGGGCAGGTCGGATACTACGTTGAGCATTTGCGGTAAAATTTCGAGGCCATCGGGCTCGTCGGGGCCATAATCGAGGTCGAGAATGGCCAGGCTAATCTGATCGGGATGCTGTTTGAGATGCGCGAGAGCTTCGCGTCCGGTGGAGAAAGCATGGACAGTGCGCGTGTCGTCTCGCAGGCTTCGAATCAGCATGTCGAGGACTTCAATCTGGTCGTCAGCAACGATAATTTCAGTCATGGGAGAAATGTTGAAAAGGGTCTTATTGAATAAATTCTTCAGCTATTGGATCGCGCGAGGTGTCGGGTACGCTGTGTTGCAGGCCAATGCTGTCTTGTTGTGTTGAGACTTCAAAATCGACGGGCAGGTCAATGCGAAAAACCGCGCCTGCACCCGGCCGGCTGATTACGCGCAACGTGCCGCGGTGTGCCGCTGCAATGCGAGAGCATATACTCAGCCCATATCCATTGCCCCGTTCCCGCGTTGAAAATCCGGGGTCAAATATGCGGGTTTGCAAATTTTCGGGAATGCCGGGGCCATTGTCTTCCACTTCAATATATACCGAACTGCGTTCTGTATCGGCACCGACCTGTACTGTCACCTTGCCATCGTCTTCAACGGCTTCGATGGCGTTGAGGGTCAGGTTTGTGACGGCTTCAGATAACATGCCTGCGTCCGCTTTTACCTGAGGTACATGAGGTTCGGCGGCAAAGGCGAGTTCTTTTTCTCCTGCTCGTGCAGAGAGTTTGTGGGTCATTTTTCCAATGAGTTGGGGCACATCGACCAACGCGGGGTTCATAGTGTCTTGTTTCATAGACCGCAAGTAGGCGACCCATTGGCTATAGATGTGTTCTTGTTCGTGTGCGATGTCTTTTAGATCATCCAGGCCATGAGTATCTGGCGGTAAATTGCGTATGGCGCGGCGCATTCGGCTGCCGGAGAGGCCCAATCAGGTTTTTGATGCGGTGGCCGTGCGTGTAGAGGCTTTCATAGACCTGTGCGCGGCCCAGGTCTATGAGTTCGAGAGAGAGACGCGCGAGAATGCCCGGTGCTCTAATGCCAAATTCTTCGGTGATGCTTGCGTATTCGCGTTCCATTTGTGTCGAACTCATGTGGTGAAAGAGCAGTCGGGCGAGATTGCCATAGGGCAGCATGTAATCGGGTTCGAGGTGTATGGCGATTTTGAACTCGCCAAGTGCCGATAAAATTTGCCCATTTTGCATGAGCAAAACGCCCAGGTTGTTGTGCCCGGGCGCGAAGAGTGGATCGGCTGCTAAACCCCGGCGGTAAACGGCAATTGCTCGAGATGCGTTTTCAGGAAAGTCATCGAGCAGGCTGCCCAAGAAAAAACAGACGCGGTCAATAAGGGCCTGTTCTCCAACCTGGTTATCGACAGACAAAATGTATTCGAGGTGTTCAACCGCTTTTTTGTAGTCGTCAGAACCCGGTGCTGCACCGCGTGCGTGTTGCAGGGCCGTTTGGAAACGGGATTCCAGGTCTGGGGTTGTGTTCTGGGTGTTGGACATGGCTGTACTTGCGCGTTTTAGACTATGCCTGTGCGTCTTCTGAGGTATCGGGTTTGCCGTTTTCCCCGGAGGCTTGTTCTCCGTTCATTTTTGCCCAGAAATTCGGGCAATTCAAGCCCGGCCAGACGCGCCAAGTCGTGCATGGGCGGTATGGCACCCATAAGGCGTTGTCCCAGGTTGGACATGCCACTGTCGCCATTGCCGCTGTCCCAGACCATTACTTTGTCGATGGGCAAGTTGCTAATGGCTTCGGCCTGGATGTTGGCGACTTCGGTGAGGCGTTCGATGATCAAAAAGGCCGCTGCTGCCTGGTCTTTGTTACCACAGGCTTCAACGAGTTGTCTGTATCCTTCGGCCTTGGCGTTGAGAATGGCCTGAGTCCCCTGGGCTTCGGCCTGTTTTTGTGCGAGAATGGCGGCGGCTTCACCCTCGGCAACAAGGCGTCGCTGTTCTTTTTCGGCTTCTGCTTGGATGACCTGGCGTTGCTTTTCGGCTTCTGCCTGAACGACGATTTCTGCGCGTAAGCGCGCTTCTTCGCGCAGTGCCCGGGCTTCTTCGGCTGCTTTTTCTGCGATTTCCTGGGCGACGCGAATGGCACCGTCAGCGCCTTTGGTCGCTTCTTCTGCTTTTCGGCGCGCTTCTTCTTCTGCCACGCGTTGTCCCGCGCGATAGCCGGCTGTTTTTGCTTCTGCTTCTGTTTCTGCTTGCACGGCTTCTGCTTCGAGAGCCGCGACATTTTGGCGTTTGTCTCGCCCTGCCTCTGCTTCGCCGATTTCAGCTTCGGATTCGAGTGCTGCGACCTGTCGTCGTCTGTTTCGCGTTGCTTCTGATTCGCCGATTTCGGCTTCTGAATCGGCTGCGGCGACCTCCCGACGGCGATCGCGTGCGCGTTCGGCTACACCAACCTGACCATGCCTATCTTGTTCGGCCACGTCAATGGACGCCTGATTGATGGCTTCTGCTGCTGCTTTTTGGCCGATGGCTTTGATGTAGCCGCTTTCGTCGTCGAGGTCTTTGATGTTGACGTTGATAACAGACAGGCCAATTTTTTCCATTTCGGTGGAGACGGCGTCATTTACTTTGGCCATAAATGCCTGCCGGTCCTGGTTGATTTCTTCAATTTTCATGGTTGCAATGACTGCGCGCATTTGGCCGAGGATGATATCTTGTGCCTGGCTCTGAACTTTTTCGCGGGATAGGCCCAGGAGGCGGATGGCCGCGTTGTGCATGATGCCGGGCTGGTTGGAGATGGCTGCTGTGACTGTGGTGGGCACGGATACGCGGATGTTTTCCTGTGAAAGCGCGTTGTCCAGATCGATGGGTACGACAAAGGGTTCGAGGTCGAGGTATTCATAGTCCTGCAAAAGGGGTAGGACAAAAGCTGCGCCACCGTGTACACATTTAGCGGCTGTGCCACCTCCTGTTTTGCCGTAGATGACGAGAATTTTGTTGGATGGGCAGCGCTTGTAACGGGAGATGAATGTGAGGAATAGCAGGAGTACGACGGCTGCCAGGATGACGGTGAGAATGAATTCGGTGGGCATTGAATCTCCTTTAAGTTCAGGATTGAATGGGTTCGACTTCAACGGTGGTTGTGTCGAGTGTTCGCAGTACGCGAACCGGCGTCTTGTTTTGGATGGACTGCCCGCTTTGGCTGCGCGCAGAGATGTAGTTGACAGCCCCGCTTTCCATCACGCGAATTTGACCGGCGCCATTTTCGGGAATGTCCATATAGACTTCGCCTTCATTGCCAATGCAGGACGATAGGTTTCTGTTATGAGATTCGGAGAGCTGTTGTACTTTGTAGAAGAAGTAGGCAACCAGGGCCATCCCCGCGCCGCCCCATACAAGGCCGCGCAAAACCGACTCTTCGATTGAGAGGCCCAGGTCGAGGTAGAGTGCGCCGGCCCATCCAAAGAGCATGCCAAAGGCGATCACAGAGCGCAGTGAGAGCAGTTGAAAGGTTGCGGCACCGTGATCATAAGGACTATTATCGACATCTGGTCCTGCATCGTTGGCATTGAAGTCGTCATGGCCTATGACGTCTGCGGAATCGCCCAAGCCGATGAGTGTCGTGATAAATTGCCAGAGAAACAAAAGGGTGAAGAAGACTGCACAGCTATAGAACACCTGAGTGAGAGGCGCGAGTTCTGACCACCATGCCTGCATATTAACCTCCAGAAATCGGACAAAAGTTGCGCGTTCTATCAACGACCTTTATGTTCCTACAATTTGTCCATGGAAGGAGCGAAAAGCAAGGGTTATTTCTTACCCGGGCTGTAAACCGAGTTTGCGAAATTCGTTTTTGAGTAGGCGGCGGGCGCGGCACAGCCAGGTTTTCACGGTTCCAAGCGGAACGCGAAGCGCCTGTGTGATTTCTTCGTAGGACCAGTCCATGACGTAGCGCAGCCACATGGCTTTGCGATAGCGTTCGGGTAAGTTTTGAATGCTTTTGTGGACCAATTGTATGCGTTCGCGTTTTTCTACAATTTGGTCTGGTAGCGTGCCGGGTATGAGGTCGCGGAGGACGTTGTGAACGACTTCGGGGTCTTCGGTTTGACTGATCCAGTTTTGCCGAACTTGTCGCGAGCGCAGGTGCGAGCGATAGACATTGAGGGCAATTTGCGTGAGCCAGGTCGAAAATGCTGCCTGGCCTTTGAATGTGTGGAGCGAGCGATAGGCGCGAAAAAATGTGTCTTGCGCCAGGTCGTCAATGGTGTCGCGGTCCGAAATGCGCTGTGCGAGGGTGCCGTAGATCTGGTTCTGGTATTTGTGGTAGAGTTTGTCAAAGGCTCGGCTGTCGCCCGAGAGGGATGCGCGAATCAGAGTTTGATCCTGTGTTTTCACTTTTTTCTCCATTAGTTAAGATGATTGTATTATACTATTCTCTAGTTGTGACAAGACGGATTTTTACGTCAAAGACTCTCTTTTGATCAACCGCGCAACCGATCGCAATACATACAACGGCGATGGCGCGTTGATCAGGAGAAAGATAGCCCAAATAGAGAGCCCATGAGCGGCGAAGAGAACAGTCGATGGCATATAGCCGCCAGGATATGAGTACGATGCCGATGAGGTTTGCCAGCAGGGATGTCCTTTTGTGTGTGGGGTGGTCCGTCAATCCGGAGTGGTCTGCGGAGAGTGATTTTGAAGGTGACTTGACAGGTGACCGGCCTTCGAGACGCTCAAGTTCGGTCCGTCAATCGGCACTTATGATGTCTGAATGCCGTGGCCTGCGGTCTGAGTTCGTCAGTCGCGATCATTCAAGCGTTCTCTGCATCGCTGATGGACAGTGGCAGCGGGATTGGGTGATGATGTGTGTGCCTATAGCTGATGCGAGGATGATGATCAGGACAATCCCAAAAAAAATTACAAACAGGTCACAATCATGATGCCCTCCCTATATTCTACGAGGTTTTCGTCAATGGCGATCATGGACGTCCTGAATATCCGTGAGCCTGCGGTCGAGTTCGTCCATTACTCGCGTGTAGGCGTCTTCTGCATCGCTGGGACGGATCCTCGGGTGCGCGTGCTCGATGTATTGTATGCCGCGGTAGGCGAGAATGATTATCGCAACCATCATTCACCTTTCAAACATTATTAGTTGACTCCTCCCTACATCATTAAATGTTCATCCACGGAGTCTCGCGCGGTGGGTATCATCCCACAGCGTGGTTCGATTTCCGGGAAAATGGTAGTAAACGACCATCCCGA